ACCAACTTGATCCGACGACGACCAGGTGGTCGCAGGGGCGGCTGATGACCGCATTTGGCGCCCTCCTTATCAGCTTGCATTCTTCTTAAGCTCCGTCTCCCATTGCTTTTTGCAGACGCTCTCAAATGCCAACCAGGTCGAAGGAAGCGCTGAGGATAATAGTCATGCAGGCTGTGAATCATCACTGAACCATCACCTCAACAAAGACATGACAGCGAGAAGAAACCAGCAAACTTGGGCGGCGGTAGCACAGAACGGCGCCGGACCCAAGCCTTCAAGCTGACTTGCTGTAGTTGCGGAGTGCGTATCTGTACGACTAACAACATGACCGTATGCGCGGAAACCCCATATGTGACGAGGACTTCGAGAGGACAGACATTCTGGGCGTTCAGTTCCCGAAAACCAAACCCCCAACCCCTTTCTTGCCTTTGATCCGACGACCAAAAAGTTCGCAGAACTAATCCGACTCCGGATACCAAGATCGGACCTGTCAAACCTTCCCCAGCCGGGTCCGAACTCTTAGGCCCTGCGACCCTGCCTTGTTTTTTCACCGAGATGGGGGCCCGTCCAACCAGGCCTGGGACACTTGAAGCACGTCATTCATCTGAAGAGCTTCCTCTTTTAGTCTCTTTAGATGCTCTCAACTCTTGGTTTCCGCATGGTTGGCGTCTCTTGTGTGTGTACGAAGTAGTTAAGTGTCGCGGTCATTGTTGTCTTACCTGCCTTGTGCCCCGACTTCATGCGCTCGATGTCTGGCATGGCATGATGGTCTATGACGAGTAAATCCTCAAACGCGAGCAGTGGGTAGTCTCGGCGGTGCTGGCTGCACCATGCATGCAGAGGGGGTCATGCGCAAGGCACACAATCAATAGTAGAGGCTCTATGGAAATGGTTCCCATTGAAGCGATCGCATGGCGCATCATGTTTGTTTACTTGGAACAAGCCAAGCAGAACCGAATCCGGCCGATTCGATCTCAACAAAGGAATCATCTATTCATCGGAAACGACAATGGCGTTCAATCGTTCAACCCCTCACCGCTTTTGCCGTTTCCTCTCTTTCGACTGGCCCGATTGACATCAAAGATATTTAGAACGCCGAGCGTCTGGAAGTAGTGTACAGCAACGCCCAATGGGCGTCCCGAAGTCGACCTCCCTTGACCACCGGGTCGCAGGCAGTGCATCTAACAATGGATGGTAGTAATTATGGAGCCGAGATATGCATCACGAGGACTCCCTCCCTTCCTCGTTCTTTCCTCTTTGTTATCCGACCGCCCCTCCAACTGGTCGGTTGTTGATCGATCGGTCAGTAACGGGAGCACTTGGTAGACGAGTTGGTGGACCGCTTCAGCTGGGTTTGGACAACGGCATCCATTTACCGGAGATGCCGTACGTACCTGGCGGTTAGGTCGGCTTGGCGGGAACCCCTCCCTTGGCCGGGACGCGCCCACGGAGTCCGATTCGATCGAGGCTTTCTCCTTTCCAAACATGACATGACTTCATTGTGATGCATTGGGAGGATTGCGTGGGTTCTTGCCCCGCGGTTCGTACGAAGTAAACTCTTACGGAGTCGATGCACGCAATCAACTGGTGCACAGCCTGGCCCTGGTTCACCCACCTCTTTACTCGTTGCGCTTGTTTCCGCCCACGTCTCAGGTTTCGGCGGGGAATAATCGTGGACTTGACGAACCAAACAAGACAAAGGGTTGGGACAAGGAATAGAGTCCCACCAGTCTGCAGTACGTGTATGCAAGGAGTGATGGTGGCATTGCCTCGGTCGTCTTTTTTAGCCCGTCTTTTTGGGGCTGTTTTCTTTGTTTCTTTTCTTTTTTTGCCTTCTTTTTCCTCTGACGTGACTCGTGGAAGTGCGGGGTTTTATGGCAAAAAGTAAACAAGTGCGACGCGAACTCGTGTAGCGTAAACAATCGCTTCCCCGCAGCATCACCCTGGCAAGTCGCGTCAGCACGTGACGCCGAACCATTGGACGGCTTCTAGCCCCTGAGCAGGTCTGGCTTGGCAGCGACCTCTGTGTAAAAGTCGGTGTCCTAATAGAGGATTCGGTGTGGCCTTACTCCGTACGATGACCGATGACTCCATAGTGTACAGAGAATGCGTCGGAATTAGCCAGTCGAACTGGATCTTTTTGCAGCTCTAGCTGATCGCGAGGTGAAGAGGTTGATGATTAATTAATAGTTCGTACGTGCGAATTACATGTCCGAAAAACCATACATTTCGTGCACAGTTCGGTGGCGATACACGTCTCCTGCATCATGCATGTAAGACTTAAGGAGACGCCACTCAGGGTCGGTTGTGATTTGCGACAGAGCATAATTCGTACGAATATCATAGGTCCGGGAATTTGTGCATTTTGGAGCCGATGTCCATTCACAGGGCTGCATCGGGAGTTTGTTTGGAGATTGCGTGCATTCTTCGGGGTTCCAATGGCTTTCCTGTATTTTGGGTGACGTTCCATCCGAGATCGTCTAGCATCGAGAAGAGAAGCCTGGCACTTGGTGTATGGATAGACCAATGTGCCGACCCCGAGCAGTCGGATTCACCAGGCAATGAAATAAGAGAACGGAGGAATGGGATATTGGAAGAGGAGGTAAAGTGTCAGACGCTCCTTATGCTTGGTTGCCCGCATGTTGAAGAGTTCGGCGTATGGGGTAACGACATATCAATATCCGCAAGAGCTCACTCCAAGACGTCACACGGCTTGGCTCAGAGGCTTCTATTATGTTGTACGAACAGGTCACCGTAGGTCCTTATACAGCATTAGCGGTGACAAAACGTGTAAGCCGTTCGGAAACCTAGCGGGCCATTCCACTGTCTTCTCCAGAGCAGATTACCATTGTACGAATAGACTCTTCGGGTTTGGCATATACTCTGAGAGGACCAGCCCGACGGTCCAGACAACCCGGGTCTGTATCATCATTACAGACGTTCGGCACGGTGACATCTAATCTGCCTCTGCCCATATGCCAAGCAAGATGTCTCCGAAACGAGAGCCGTGGGTTTGATGTAGAATATGGGTATGGTTCTTGTGGCCGTTAAGACTCCTGAACGAGACTCAATGGTACCAGAGTATGTCAACAAGAACGTGACCCTTTTAGGTATTACAGCAAGGCGGCCCCATCCTCCTGCCAAGTGTTTCGTGAGTGCAACGGACACTTCGTATAGATGCTAGGAAAGCCATTCAGTATCCCCTCCAGGAGAATCGTCCCCGCCAAATGCCTCGCAGGATATTGAATGGTCTCTCCCGGTTTTTTTATTACTATGTGAGAATTCGAAGCCAGCTAGCTGGATCCGGTCCCTGGATTTGCGGAGATGTCTTAGTCGTTGCGATGTGAGGAGGATATTCCGAGACATTCTTTCGAGCATGGCAGAGCAGTGTATGGAATAGCAAACGCATATAAGAAAATAAGTGATACCAAGATATAGTAGATATCCATTGCCCCGAGAGACACGTTACTGGACCTCTGGGCAAGTCTAGACAGCATTTCATTCACGTTGCCGCAGGAAAACTTGCGAATATATCATGGTTAGAGTAGCAGG